AGACGTTATTGCACTCTACAACTTCCTGAAAGAGGTTGTGATGAGGAGGGGTTTGGCCTCTTCTCCCAGGCAAAGAACAGCATCTGAGGAAATGGCCAGAAGTTGTACCAGAGGAGGTTTAGATTAGACATAAGGAAAAACGTTTCATCTCAGAGAGTGGTCAGGCACTGGAATGGCTGCCCAGGGAGGGGGTGGAGTCGTTGTCCCTGGCAGAGATATGGTTTAGAGGCTTGTGGTAGCAATGGTAGTGGGAGGGCAGTTAGACTAGATGATCTTGTAGGTCCTTTCCAACTTTGTGATTCTATGATAACAACCTTTTTTTACTAATATATTAACACTAACAGGTGGGCTGAAGAGAATCTCCATCTTTACTGGATGTGGGGGAATATGTGACAACTGACAATGAGGAAAAGGCTGAGATTCTAAGTGCCTTTTTTTAATCTGTTTTTGAAAGACAGAATAATTATCCTCAGGGTTCTCAATGTCCTATTCCGGAAGTCTGAGACAAGAGAGAATAAACCCCACACAATTCAGGTGGAATCAGTTAGAGACCTACTACTCCATGTGGTCTGTCAGAAGTCCATGGAACAAGATAGGATCCACCTGAGGATGCTGAGAGAGCTGGTGGAAATGATAGCCAAGCCATTTTCTGTTATCTATCACTGTTTCTGGTCAACTAGAGAGGTCCCAGGGGATTGGAGGCTTGCCAATGTGACGTCCATCTACAAGAAGGGTCATAAGGAAAATCTGGGGAAGTATAGGCCTGTCAGCATAACCTCAGTGCCAGGAAAGGTTATGAAACATACTATCTTGATGGCGATCATCTGGCATGTGCTAGACAACTCGGAGATCAGTTTTAGACAGCACAGGTTCATCATCATATATATGAAAGGCAGGTTCTGCTTGACCAGCCTGATCTCTGTCTATTGTTGAGTGATGCCATGTCAATAAGAGAAAGGCTGCTGACATAGTCTACCCAGACTTCAATGAAGCCTTCAAAACTGACTCCCACAGTATTCTCCTGGAGAAGCTAGCGACCTTTCGCTTAGACAGGTGTACTCTTTGCTGGTTGGGCCCAGAGAGTGGTAGGGAATCGAGTCACATTCAGCTGGTGACTGGTTACGAGTGGTGTTCTGCAAGGATTGGTACTGGGACATGTCCTTTATTGATAACCTGGATGAGGACATTGAGTGTACCTTCAGTAAGTTTGCACCATGTTGGGAAGAAGTGTAGGTCTGCCTGGAGGTAGGAAGGCCCCTTCAGAGGGATGTGGACAGGCTAAAAAACTGAGCTGAGGCCAGTGAGATGAAACTTCAACAAGATCAAGGGCCAGGGTCCTGCACTTTAGCCACAGTAACACCAGCTAATGCTACAGGCTTTGGGCAGTGGCCAGAAGACTGTATAGAGGAAATGGGCCTGGGGATATTAGTCAACACTGTGCTAAACAGGAGCAAGCATTGTGCCCAGGTGACCAAGAAGGCCAACGGCATCTTGGCTTCTATCAGAATAGCGCTTGCCAGGAGGAGCATGGTCATCTCTCCGTACTCAGCCCTGCTGAGGCTGCATCTCAAGTACTGTGTTCAGTTTTAGAGGAAAGATGCTGAGGCCCTGTGGCATGTCTAGGGAACCATGATGAAGCTGGTGAGGGGTTTGGAACACAAGTCTTATATGGAGAGACTGGGGGAACTGGAATTGTTCGGCTTGGAGGAGGCTCAGGGGAGACCTTATCATTCTCTACAACTACCTGAAAGGAGGTTGTGGTGAAATTGAGTTCAGTTTCTTCTCCCATGTAATAGAACTAGAAATAGAACTAGAGGGAATGGTCTCAAGTTGAGCCTTGGGAGGTTCAGGCTGGATGTTAGGGATAACTTCTCAAAAAGAGTAGTCAGGCTGAGCAGGGAGGTGGTGGAGTCACCGACACTGGAGGTGTTTGAGAAATGTGTAGATGTTGTACTGAGGGACATGCTTTAGTGGGAGATATTGGTGATAGATGGACAGTTGGACTGGATGATCTTGGAGATCTTTTCCAATCTTGGTGATTCTATGATTGCGTAATACCTATGCTGTTACATAGAGAGAAATATTTCAGTTTTTAGATAGTGATAACAGATACATCTCTATTAAGGGCAATGCGATTTTTCACATTAAAATTCAAAATAAAGAGCAATACGTTTTATAATAAACTTTGCCATATTTATTACCTTACCATTCCTTTTCTTGAAACTTGTAGCAAACCAGATGAATTTTAGAGGTTTTCTGAAGGACAGTCAGAGTAGGCAAGGCCATCAACTAAAATCTTAATCATTCTCTGTGTTAATATCCAGAGGACTATAAATGTTTTAGTTACACCTGTATTGCACACAGGAGCTCTGATATTTCTGTGTAACACTGGAACCAGAAACACCACAGCTGCTCAGGCAAATAAATCTCACTATCATAGCCTCTCTGTGAAAATGAGCTAAAAACTCCTAATCCTGTCATGTCTCAGTGTACTACATGTGGTTATTCATATTTATTTAAAATGATGTTTTCTACATATTTAGGATCTAATATTGTGTGGTTCTAATGTTGCTACAAAACCCTAAGGCTTCAATTCCACGTAAGTTTTTTAGAGAGAGCACTCAAGCTGAAAATATGGTAAATAACACTGTTTATTCAGGGAAAGGTGATGGGGAAAAAAGAAGTTTTTATTTTAAAATTTTAAAATTCAGGAAAATAATTTAATGCAAAGTTATGCATAAGCCCTCAATCACTGAGCAAACAATTAAGATTCTCTGACAGCCCCCTTCCATTTCATTTAGGGAAAAAATCTGTTTAAGTAGATACATCAACCTTTCCATTATTTGCCAGATGAAAATTTTAGCAGAGAAATCAGCAAACACACATTGTATTCAGGTAACTTTAGATCAAAGTGTTGCTTCAGCAGGAAAAGGGCCCATCTCTAAATACTGTTTACTGAAAACTAGATCTACATGACATCAAACTACTTCACAAACATCTTACTCAAAGAAGATGCTAAATAGGCTGGATCAAGTAGAGCTGAAGCAGATAAGCTCCTTTCACTCTGTAAGTTCCAGCACTGCCATATGCTCAGTAAACCACACTTGGAAAAATTCTGAGATTAGGTATCACTGAGCATGTGTTACCACATAATAAAAGACTCTCACTGCAATACCGCTGGGATAGATTGAAAGCCTTTTATACTGCGTTACCAACCACCACGCAGACATAATATTATGCAGACATCCAATTCCCCTTTAATCTTTCTCTCTAAATAAATAAATAAACAAATAAACAAACAACAACAACAAATTTAGAGCAGATTTCCAGCTGCTTGGTTAAGTCCAAGATAGTTGCAACACAGATCTTTTAGAATAATGTCAGTGACAGCCAAATTCAACTTCTAAAATTAGATATGATCAGGACAGCATTGAGGAGTTATGCACCACAAAACATATATGATCTGGAATACCAGAAAACACAACTGTCTCAATTTATTACTAGTTTTATAATTTTTCTATAATCACTCATGCTAGAAAATAGAGGCTAATAATTTTGATGGCACAAATAACTTTTTTTTTTTTTTTTCCTCCAGGAAAATCTTGATTTTCTTGGAACAGACAAGAGCTTACAAACTAAGTACTCCCAGTGTCCCTGCCGTACCTAAACACTTCAAGTATTCAAGCTTGGCAAACATAACGGCTCTTTAGGATACATTCAGCTCAAAGCTTAAAAAAATTGTGCAAATTAAAACAAGTCTAGGAAGTCAGGAAGATGGTCTCTACTGCTAAGCTTAACATGCAACACTGCTAGAAAATCTGCAGTTACACTGACTTTTTAATGATGATGGTCCCCTTCTCATATGGGAATAACACGCCTTACCCTCTATCATGTAACTTGTTGCTCTCTCACTTGCAGCCGATGACACAACTATTCTTTGCAATATTTCTTTCTAGATTCCCCAGCTAAGTCTCTTTAAAAAATCAGTCCTGTGTTCTCATTTCAGTTTTATCCTTAACTACGGATGGACAAAAATGTGTACAAGAGGAGAGGAAATAAAATGACTTCAAGTTATTGTAAATACATTGTAAATTTTATTTTATTTTTTGTAATAAATTTTATATATATATATATATATTTGTATGCTTGTTTATTTAAATGTATTGTAAATATTGTAGATGTTTTTCCCAGCAGAGTGTGGCACATGAACAAACTGTAGATGAACATTAGCTTGGAAGACTGATTACTTCAAACCCAGTCTAAAGTTTTACTACGGCAAAATAAATAGGGTTCAAATAGGGTACAAATCAGCTAGCAGAGAATTTTAAATATATATATATATATATATATGTACAGCAGACAACTCCCCATTGTTATAAAAGTAATCTCGAAGATATTCCTATACTCCTCCAAAAAGGGACAGAATAATCAGGAAAAATAGTCTGTTTGCAAGTTTATACCTTGAGATTAGATAAATACAAAATCAGTGGTACAATTACACCAGTATAATTTTAACAACCTGGAATTTCTACATTTCACCCATAATATTTAAGAGAACTGTAGGATGTGAAACATTTTTAAAAAATCAGCTCTTCTCTATTTTAAAAGTTATTCTATTAAATTCTAGGACACTGGCTAAAGAAAACAAACAAACTACATTCATGTGAATGTTACTGCATATTTCAGAGTAACTGCTGCTCCTGATGTCACCCTTTCACTTTAGAGTTACGGTTCAAGTTTAGTATTTTCCCCAGATTTAAAGTACAAATGAATACAGAGTACAAAAGTAAAGAACTTTACCTAAAGTCCTGATGTCTGCTTCATCACAGGTTTGAATGCTGATACCACTAAGTCAGCGGAGCAAGAGTTGTTTCACATCAGTTAAAGATGGCCCTTACAAAGAAATTGACTTAACTGCAAAAAGTGCAGCATTACTATGTTTAATGAGACCCTAATAATATCCTTAATATCTATATAGTGTTGAATAACACACTAAATGCTAGAAACATTGTAAACAGGTTTATTTTTTCACTTAAACTTACACACAACATTTATTAGTTTTTAAAAAAATTTCAACATGAAAGGCAGTAGTTTGGCTTTTTATTTGCAAAGGGTAAAGCATCTCCTCAGTTAAAACCGAGTTAAAACAATTCTGAGTAAACTACAGTGGTTAAGTTTACTTATAATTTAATATCAGCCAAAAACCTGTTAACATTCCAGATCGTTGTAGAAAAATTGTATACCACACTTACGGCATACAAGATTTAGAACAAACAAAAAATACCCTGTTTTAAAAGTAATCTCCCTTCCAAATAGGTTTTCATTTTAGTGCACCCTCTCTCTTCAGGCTTTACAATTCTCTATATACAGGAAGGTAGAACAAATTGATATAGTATTTATGGAACAAACTAAGGATGCTGCAGTATGCTAAGTTTAAATTAGCCTCTCCCCATCTTGCACACCTTCTTGCTTCTTATTCCTCCTGTGAAGCGGTCTCATCTGGTCCAAGAAGTAAGTTCTTTCATTGCAAGGCACGTACTTATCTACAACAGAAGAAACAGATGCATTAATGTGAAATGCTGTTTCAGGGGTAATGTTAGTCCACGTTTTTAAAGACCAAACATTAAAGGGTGCAACTCTTTATTACTAAATTTGCCCATAAAAACAGGTAGTTACCACATTACTGTGAAGTAAAATGCCATGAAACACTGTTCATTTAAACCTCCAAAATAGAGTTATTAGATCTCCATGTTTTTTAGGTTTGTTTTATATATTATATACATATACAAAAATATACATAAAATAATATATATAACAAAACTAAAAAACATATGTATATATATAGAAGCATATATGTAAAATGCACAGTCTGTAAGACTAAACCCCACGTAAGACAGTGAAACTTTGTAACTCTCAGTAACATACTGTAATTAGCAAGTACTGCATGCATGAAGTGATTTAATGAGGACTACTTGTATGACACAGCTTCAAAAACCAAGGATGTGCTTGCAAGACACTGTCCCTCAGATGACATCTAGGTCATAATGCATGATGAGAAACCAAAGGTCAGAATTTCAAATTTTGACATATAACAGTACTGGACAAAAGAGTTAAAACTTCGCATTCAGGTAAGACTCAGGTAAGGCACAGAGACAACATGGTATACAGAGCACTAAATCAGTGGTAAGAGGATGACACTTAAGTTGCACCTATGCTGCTTTTTTCATATAGCTATAAAGGAAACAGCAACAACATAAAGTAGTAATCATATCAGCACAACACTAACAAACACAGCCACACTTATTTCAGGAGAGAAACCAGTTTCTCTGCTCTGCCTTATAAAGAGTCAAAAAGCAGCTTACACAAAACAGGCCTGGAACTTTCTAACAAAATGTACTGACCTGTGCACTAACACCTTAAAAAAAAAGATCTTGGTTGATTCAATTAGAAAAGAAAGCAAGGCAGAATGAATACTAGTGCAGTCTACAGCAAGTCATACAGAAACATATAACTCTTTTGTATGGGTAACTGCTTCCATAATTTGTTGTCCATAAGAAGAGCATATGAACACACCAGAATGTGTTAACTATACACCTACTTTCCTGAGACTGTGTTCAGTTTTTGAGTGCATTCCATTGTGATCTATGGCAGTAAGAAAATTATGAACTGAATAAGCTGAGTGACTGTAGTTATGCAAAACTGCAACACTGATTTGCCCATGACAAACAGAGATTAAAATCAAAACCCATCCAAGACCTCTCTTGCTAGTCTCATAGTTGCTCCATGCCTGACTGCATATTTGTGTTACTCTAAAATAAAAAACAGGAACAAGCTCCAAATCAGCTGCAAAGTACAAAGTGAAAATATCATTTGAAAATATTTGAGGTATTGTTATAATCAAATTGTTTCAGTTTTATCATCAAGCAGTTTCAGTTGTTTTGATTCTTTATACATTTTGTACTCCTTAATTAGGGAACAATGATTATTAAGGTGTGTATTGAGCCCATGTGGCAGGGTTCTGGTAGAAGGGGAGGCCACAGAGTTGACCTCTGCTCAGCTAGCCAAGCAGTGTCCCAGCTGGTCCAACAAGCACTTGCCACTTCCCAAGCTGAGTCACAGATAATGGTGGGGATGCTCTAGAAGAGAGGACTTAAGATTTAAGAGAAAACCACTGCACAACAGCAGCCAGGAGAGAGGGGTGTGAAATAGGAGAGAAGCAGCCCTGTGGAACCCCAGGTTAATGCAGGAGGCTCTCTAAGTACAGAGCAGAATTCCTCTGCACCCAGGGGAGGCCCATGGTGTAGCAGGCTGTCCCCCTGCAGCTAATGGGCACCAAGCAGTGTAGAAGAATTAGAAAAGTGTGGATTGCAGGAAGGTGGCTTTAGCTTGCTTTATGCTCTAGACTGTAATTAATAGGCAATAAATTGCATTCATCTCCCTTAATTAAAAAAATTAAAAATAAAATAAATTCTTAAAAATAGAAATTCTTGGAGATGTCATAAGGACGATGAGCAAAACTGCTGTCTTGAACTTCAAGAGGGAGAACTTTGACCTGTTCAGGATGCCTGTAGCACAGGTCCCTTGGGTGTCACTCCTTAAGGGTAAAGGGGTCCAGGAAGTCTGGACGCTCCTCAAGATGGAAATCTTAAAGATGCAAGAGCAGGCTGCCCATGAATGCCATAATGTGAGCTGTAGGAGAAGAAGACCGGTGTGGATGAGCCAAGAACTATTGTTGAGACTCCAGAAGAAAAAGTGAGTCTATGTCCTCTCAAAGAAGGGACAGGCTACTTGGGGAGATTACAAGGAAGTTGGTAAGGTACGCAGGGAGGAAGTTAGGAAGGCAAAAGCCCAACTTGAACTCAGATTGCCAAATGCAGTAAAAGGGAATAAGAAATCCATTTATAAATATATCAAAGGTAAGAGAAGAACCAAGGAGAATTTCCATCCTTGATGCAGCGGGGAATGTGACCATTGAAGATAAGGAGAAGGCTGAGGTCCTCAATGCCTTCTTTACATCTGCCTCTAGTAGGCAGATCAGTTATCCTCAGGGCACTTTACACCCTGATCTGGAAGTCTGGGATGCTATGCAGAATTACACCCCTGTTGATTTAGGTGAAGATGGTTAGAGAGCTCCTCCTCCGTCTGGACTGTCAAAAGTCCATGGAACCAGACGGGCTCCATCCTAGGGTGCTGAGGGAGCTGGCAGCAGTGACTGCCGAGCTGCTCTCTGCCATCTACTAGCACTTCTGACTATCTGGAGAGGTCCCAGAGGACTGGAGGCTTGCTGGTGTGACTCCCATCTACAAGAAGGGCCATAAGGAAGATCTGGGGAACTGCAGGACTGTAAGCCTGACTTCAGTACCAGGGAAAGTTATGGAGCATATCATCTTGGGTGAGATCATAAGGTATGTGCGTGGCATCCAGGGGATCAGGCCCAGCTAGCACAGGTTCATGAAAGGCAGGTTGTGCTTGACCAACCTTATCTTCTCCTATGACTGGGTGACCAGCCTGGTAGATGAGGGAAAGGCTGTTAATGTAGGCTACCTAGACTTCAGCAAAAGCTTTGACACGGTCCTTCACAGTATTCTTCTGGGGAACCTGGCTGCCTGTGACCTGGACAGGTATACCTTCTTTGGGTAAGGAACTGGCTAGAGGGCCATGCCCAGTGAGTAGTGGTTAATGGAGCTAAGTTCAGCTGGCAACCCATCTCAAGAGGTGTCCCCCAGGGGTTAGTACTGGGGCCCATCTTGTTTAAGATCTTTATTGATGACCTAGATGAAGGGATTGAGTGTACCCTCAGTTAGTCTGCAGATGACACCAAGCTGGGAGGTGGTGTGGATCTGCCTGAGGGTAGGGAGGCCCTTCAGAGGGATCTAGACAAGCTGGATCACTAGGCTTAGGTGGATGGGATGAGGTTCAACAAGGTTAAGTACCATGTCCTGCACTTTGGCCACAATAATCCCATGCAGCACTATAGTCTTGGGGATGAGTGGCTGGATGACTGTGAAGAGGAAAGGGACCTGGGGGTGTTGGTTGATGCTCGGCTGAACATGAGCTGACAGTGTGCCCAAGTGATCAAGTGGATCAATGCCATCCTGGCCTGCATTAGAAATAGTGTGGCCAGCAGGAGCAGGGAGGTAATAATTCCCCTGTACTCAGCACTGGTGAGGCCGCACCTTGAGTACTGTGTTCAGTTTTGGGCCTCGCACAACAAGAAAGACACTGAGGCCCTGGAATGTGTCCAGAAAAGGGCAACGAAACTGGTGAGGAGGCTGGAGCGCAAATCTTATGAGGAGCAGCTGAGGGAACTGAGATTCTTTAGTCCAGCAAAGAGGAGGCTCAGAGGAGACTTCATTGCACTCTACAACTTCCTGAAGGAGGTTGTGGTGAGGAGGGGTTTGGCCTCTTCTCCCAGGCAACAAACAGGATCCAAGGAAATGGCCAGAAGTTGTACCAGAGGAGATTTAGATTCAACATAAGGGAGAACTTTCTCTCTCAGAGAGTGGTCAGGCACTGGAATGGCTGCCCAGGGAGGGAGGTGGTGTTCAAGAGGCATCTGGATGAGGAGCTATGAGATATAGTTTAGAGGCTTGTGGTAGCAATGGTAGTAGGGGGACGGTCAGACTAGATGATCTTGTAGGTCCTTTCCAACTTTGTGATTCTATGATTCTATGATTAAGCTGTGCCTGTATTTGAGAGTGATCTCCCTGTCCTTATCTTAACCTATCAGCATCTTGTCATCATATTTTCTCCCTGTTCTCTAAGGAGGAGGGAGTGTAAACAGCGTGGAGCTTAGCTGCCCAATGTGAAACTTCCACAGGTTGTCATGCAGATACAACAAGATGAATGAAATTGACAAAAGTATATTTCCAATTACTGATACATGTATATATTTAAAAAGTACTCCACATTAGTTTTTAAGCTTCCTTCCTAGAAATGCTGTCCCTTTGCAAAGTATCAGCAGTATTCTATCAAGAACTACTGAGAGTTTTGCTGAACATATTCAGATTGTCCAGCACAATTCTTCATATTCTATGCAAAAATTTCAAGATAAACATAACTTGTGAAATTTTGACAGCTTCTCTCTATACAGAAGGGAACACAGCAAGCTTTCAACATACATGTGCTGTGTATATTCACTTTACTGACTACATATAACTTAAAATCTTTGTTTTCTTCATCTCCCATTTCAGAAATGTCTTTCATCACTTAAGCACTTACTTTCTGAGCAATCCTGAAAAAACAGTAATGTTTTCATAGGCTGATGCAAGCTGTTCAACAACCAAGAGCCAGGTGCTGCACTTCAGTCACATCTCCATACAATGCTAGAAACTTAGGGCAGTGTTTCTGGAAAGCTGCACAGCTGAAAATGATGTGGGGTGCCTGCTAAACATAAGCCAGCAGTGTGCCCAGAAGGCCAGCAGCATCCTGACTTATAATAGGATTTGTGTAGCCAGAACGAGTAGCAAGGTGACCATCACACTGTACTCAGCTTTAGCAATGCTACACCTTCAGTATTGTGTTCAGTTTTGGGCCCCTAACTAACACTGAACTGCTGGAATGTGTCCAAAGAACAAAAAAGTTGGTGAAGGGTCTGAACCTCAAGTCTTATGAGAAGTAGCTAAGGGAATTGGGATTGTTTAGTCTGTAGAAGAAGAGGTTCAAGGGAGACCTTATCATTCTCTGGAACTACCTAGAACGAGGTTGTGGCAAGGTGGGATTAGTCTCTTCTCCTGGATTACAACAACAGGACGAGACGTAATGAATAAAGTTGCACCAGAAGAAGTTCAGGTTGGATATAAGGAAAAATTTTTCCTCTGAAAGAGTGGTCAGGCATTGGAACAGACTGCCCAAGCAAGTGGTGGAGTCACCACCCCTGGAAGTACTGAGGAAATTTTTAGATGTGGCACTGAGGGACATGGTTTGCGGGCATGGTGATGATGGGTTGATAGCTGGACTTGGTCTTAAGGGCCTTTTCCAATCCTAATGATTCTACAATTTTCTATTAATTCTCTTGTGAGAGTAGTACTTCTATTCAGTAAATTTCCTTAGCAAGTAAACAGAAACATATGCAGAAGTTCAGTCAGGATACTCAGTTACTTGAATACAATTGTTCTTCTTGCAGTGTGGCTCAATCTTGACATCACCTCTTCTATAAGCTAACACTATCAAATTTTGGGACGTTTTACAGGCCCACAGAGAAGAAACAAACATTTGTTTATGCTACAAGTTACATCACTACACATTTACATAGGGCTATGGCATGTTCTAACACTACTGAAACATCCCACTTCTTTTCCCACTTTTTCCTGAGTGTTTGGACTTGGGTGAAAACACTGGGTATTTTTAGTTTTCATCTGAAACTGACACTTAAAATAAACAATATTTAAATAGTAGAAGTTCTCTCACATAGTATGTGAGAAATTACATACTCTAAATACTGATAAATACTTATCTGACAATAGCTATGTCATCAGATAAATGAAATACTTCTAATGTATTCAGACTGTTTAGATCATATGTCATCCTAATGATTATACTAAAAATGATCTGGATCGGGGGATCCGGAAGATACTTTCCAATACTTCCAAATTGCTTGGTTTAGCTAAAGTACATGATAATTTGCTGCAGTATTTTAATTTTAAAAGAAGATGAGCATTTGGAAATTAGGACAGCTTTTTTTTTTAAAAAAAAAAAAAAACAAAAACTACAACACTACATCATAACTTGATTTTTTTCCTTAGGTAACACTTAGAAGCAATTGCCAATAGAGGTCTGCTGTTTTATAGATGCAAAATACCTTAACTTAAATGATACTTCTGTTCTTATTATAAGGAGATAGAAACAAGAATACATTCAGTAAGTAACAAGAGTGAAATATCCAAGAATGGAATAATTGAAGTTGTAAAGCTTATAAGTTAGTTGTTGACTTTCTCTGGAACTCATACGTCAAAGACAAAGTCAAAGACAAAGGTGTTCGTGTTCTAGAGTAGATCAAGAACTGAAGTAATAACCTTGCCTACTAAATTCTTGCCCATTTAAATTTGAGTTTATTTTGACATTACGTCTCCAACTACACACATATTAAACAAAATACTGAGCATTCTCAGTCAAGCTTCTTATCATCTGTACAGCTTCATTTCTACTTGTAGACATACATTCAGCATCTATATACAAACCTTCGAGGATGATTGGCATCAAATAGTGTTGTATCATCATCATCATCTTGCTCTAGTGGTGTCAGCTCCATGTTTTCTATGTTTGTATCCAAAACTCCGTATCTTCTTGTTTTCCTGTTATGTCTTCTGAGCCTGAAATGTATTTTGAGATATATAAATTCACTTAATTTCATCCTACTTTCAATTTCAACAGTGCAAAAGAACTATCCCCATAAAACACTGCTACACTGAGACAGATCATGATCATTTAAAAAGTTAGTGTAATTACAGTGTACACCCTTAGCTCAGTGAAGTTCAGTTGTCAGACAGTTCCAAGCATGAAGAATTTACAGGAAATGACTGATGCCAATAATCGTTTGTCACCTTTAGTTCTGTATAGAATTAAAGAATACAAAAAGGCACTTAATAGCTAACAAGAAAGTGAATGCAGAAAGCTATTCAGTAGCTAAATGCAAGAGACAGATAAAAATACATGCCAACGTACAAAATATACTACTAGCAGAGCCTTCAATGAGAAAAAAAAATATATCTTACTAAGTATTTGCTGCATGTTTTGCAGAACAAGAGATCAGAGAGAAACACAGGAAAACTGTAACAGATATACAGGACAATCCACAGGAGCCATCATTTTTAGCTCAGCCTATGGAAGACTTCATGAATTAAAAAAGCTACACTGTTTAATATTAAATCAAATAAAGTGCAGTAAAATATGCAACATGAGGTCTGAGAAACCCAAACATCTCTTACAGAAATGAGTAATAAACATCTTGAATAAACAGCACCGCTTTTATACAAATCAATCTGTTCTGTGGCTTCACTGTGTAGGTCTGGCTCCCACGTAAGCCTTGTTTTTGGCTTTGCATCTCCGTATGTATCTAGTATGTCTTGCACAACCCTTTGAGGTAGGGGAACTCTCATTACAAGGTTCTCAGCAAAGCAAATGTAAAGATGCCTGTTACAAAATATTTACAGAGCTGCTTTCAATTAGTTTAGTCTTACAAAGACCAGCAATGTGAAAACGACAAGATTAAAAAAAAAAGTAAAAGTCTGTATTCTAGACTCTTACAACTAAATCCAGAGACACAGCACTTCCTTTCAGCAACTTCAGAAGCAGAATTTACAAACCTAAGCTAGGTACTTCGGAAAGGCGTTCACAGCTTTCAGAACTTCTACTATGTACAGTTTTTATGCTAATGCTCATCCCAATGACTTAGATCTCCTCTGGTACAAAACATACCTTTCTTCAGGATATGGCATTATAAAAAGAAAATGATAGTACAAGGGCTGCCTCAAAAGAATTGCCTCGTATTTTCTTACCCTGGCCCACATGTCAGGGCCAGATGTTGGTGGCATGGCAGTAGAGGCCAAACCTTCCCATCAATATTCCATTACATTTTGTTGCCATGTGACAGATGCCAGCAAAAGGACACCCTGAGAGAAAGGAGTTTGACATAGAAATGCATATGAAGCATTGGTGTGTCAGTGAATTCCCCCATGCAAAAAAAAAAAAAAAAAGCACCCATTGGCATTCATTAAGCTTGCTGAAGTTTCTGAAGACCAAACAGTGGATTGTGCTTACTATGAGCACAGTGAGGCAGCAGATGGTGCATTGCAGCAGCAAGGACATGAAAGATAAGCCCCATTCTGGATGCCATGAAGATTTTTATGAGCAGCATGCAGGCTTTTGTGCATTGCTGGGGATAATGCATAGTTAATGGTGGTGGCCATACTGAAAAAGAGTGTTTTGTAACTGCAAATTTGCTCTACCAAGTAGTTTTATTGTGCTCTGTTGTAATTCCACAGAAATAAATAGGAGGCATTATTTCTGGAACAACCGAAGTATAAAAAGAAATAGTCAGCATTATAATTTCCTCTACTTGATTTGAAACAGCAGCAGCTGTTGTGCCATACATGTGCTTTAGCATAATTTAATTGTTAAAAGTTAAAGCTAATCACAAGAACACAAAAATTTCACCTTTCAGCTCAACACAAAAACTTTTTAATCAGTTCTCAACAAAGAAAGAAGTGAAACAATTATAACGTACCAAGCTGAGGAACATTCCGAAACCTTATGATGAAGGTATGATGAAAAATATGGTAGCTTTAATGTGTCTTTTGTTTTTATTAAAGTAAAAGGTACACAACTAATTTTGGTGTAAGCACTCACAGATATTCTAACAGGCTAGTCCACGCAAATGGTACCAAAACGCTTGCACAAATTTAAAGGTTCACATGAATCCTACCGAAAAACAGAAAACCAAATTACTGTGATACGAAAACTTAGTTTACATACATATTAGTTAACAAACCAATCGTGCAAGCATCTCCAGTATCCTTGTAGCATATACATGTGCAGACATACCTAGGATGCTAGTGCACTGTCAGGAGTGTTTACAAAAGTTTGTTTTTCTAACCAGTGATAAAAAAAAAAAGTCTATCACAAAATTCTGACTGCATAAAGTCAGTAGCATTCTCAATAACTTAAAAAGGATTACCTTTATCACTGTAGTTATTCCTGACTCCTTGCGTTCTAATAAGATGAAGCTATGAAAAATGCAATTAAAGTTACACAAAAATCCATATTTTATGTCCAGTCTCAATAATTTCACAAGAACAGCTGACTACAGTGGAAGAATCTGCAGTAGGATAAAAACAAATATTAATACCAAAAGTGGCATAGATGATAGACCGTAAGAGCAGAGCTAAGAACTAAAAAATGTTGGTATTTAAAAAAGAAATAACAACAAAAAACCAGAAAATATGTAAATAAAATGAGAGCTGAACAAAGCAGGCCAAGTCCAAAGCACATCTAAAGAAAAAAGATTAAAGAAACATGGAACTGCAAACAGCTGGGAGGATGATGATTAAGAATTTGTTTTTTCCAAGTTATCCTAATTAGCACAGGTGCAAGGGAATATGCTTTCTAAATGCCACACACACTTGAAACAAGATCAGTTCAATACAGTAGTAATTGCTAATTGATCTCTCTCTTTATGTAAAGTGCCATTCTACTAGAAACTTTTTACTGTTATTAAGCTCTACAAATGTCCCTTGTTCCCTGCACTTCCTCTTCACAGTACATCAGAGGATTCTGAGAAGTACAGGACAAGGGAACTGTAGCTTTCCAATCACATCAAGCATACAGACAAGTTTTACATAGGAGCCAGAATACATCTTCTTAAAAGTGGAAATATCTTCTTATACCATGTACTACACAATATGGTACAATCTATTCACATTCTCCATTAATGAATATTTCAAACTAAATTGATCTTTCCTGAACCATGAACTATGCCAGTTACAAAAAATATCCTCATAAAGTTATTAGTCAAAGCTAATGTCTTCTGTGAAGGGCACACATGAGCTACAGATCTTATACCCATAAAAGAAATTCAGTAATCTCAATCCAAAAGGCTTAAAAGTAACTCCCTAGAAACTTATTTAAAATTATTATCTGATACTTAATTCATACTGAACTGTTTTTTGGAAGTCTGATGTAGTATGACAAATTGTGTAGCATATTGTAACAGTTGTCTAAAAGAAAAAAGCCATTTCATCTCGTCTGCTATCTGTTTTCTCACCAAATCATGAAGACTGAAGAACTAAGAGCCTGCCTGCTCTTCTTCCTACATAAATACGGGAGATCACCATTGACTGCAATAGGTTTCCTGTAAGTAAGCAGAACTATCCAGAAAGAGGAAGGGTAGAAAAAAGAAAAAAACAACAATGTATGAACTGTAATATTAGTGTTTCTGTTCATTGTCAGGCATTTTGTGTCAAATATCAACTCTAAGCATGGAAGGCAAAAATAAAATTGTCAAAATGAATGAGGCATCACAATGTCTAAAGTTCCTTATTTCTAGTTCTGATGGATATTTTGTATGGTCTTGTTACTACATTCATTGTTCTTTGGAAAATCTTCAGTTATAGAAGGAGTGAATATTAAAACGTATGAAAATGCACAAGAGACATGAAGTTTTATTGTAAAATACACAGCTAACTATCACAGCAAATAAAGCCTGGGAAAGATCTGCTGCATCGTAAAAAAAAAAAAAGCTTTCCTCAATAGTACAATTGGAGGAAAACAACAACAACAACACAATAACAATACCAGAAAAAAAAAAAAAAAGAAAAAAAGAGAAAAAACCCACAGACTTTCTTCCTGTGATGGTTAAATACAGGGACATATGGATGACAAATCATCTTCAAGGCACATACACAAAGCAACCCACCAAGAGCTGAGCAGCCTACTGGAGGTTGCAGGATGCCAGAACACACAATCTCAAGAGGTGCCTCAGACAACTTGCTACTGCACACTCAGTTGTCACAACTGCTGAAAATACCTCCCAAACTCATCTTCACAGCACAAAGAGGCAACTTCTATAAAAGTGCAATTGAAAGAAGAAGTCCCATACACAAAGCTAGAAATGAAATCAGATGGTTTTTTTTTTCCCCTGACAGAGAAATTGCATCATCAGTAAGAAAGTGTGAGAACTTGCTATAGTTTACATTAATTATATGTGGAGAAAAAAAATAGTGTTATAGCCACAGCAGCAAAGTTGTATCAGCTCCCACATGATTTTCTTCAAAATGGATTTTCAGGGCATCGCCTTCAAACAAAGCCAAATGGCTCTGAAAATCAAAAACTTGTATCTTTTATCAGAATGAACAGAATTAATAAAGAAAGAGATTGCTACATCATTTAACCAAGCAAGGCTTTGACAACTGCATCCCAACAAAAACAAACAGTTATCTAAATTTTCCAGGTAGTCTTTATCAGAGCTGGAAAAATGTTACTTCTAATTGTTAAATATAGATTGTTTCTATGAATAAATGAAGTTGAAGGATGCAAATATGGTGAAATTTTGTATAAGCTCCTGAAACCTTTATGTTTGTTAACAATATGCATGGTTTCATCCTAAGGAAAAAAAAAGTTCAAAAGAAACTGAAAGTTTTGTATCTAAACCTTCAATTTCTAACATGAGTACTGTCACAAATTTCAGCCACAAATCCAATCTACAAAACACATGCTTCATCTGTGCTGACGTACATGAGCAGGAACATAACAGGACAAATACCAGGCAGTTTCCTCAAAGCACAGTGCCCATTCGCTGAGACAACATCCATTCAGAAAGGTTTCAAGTTTCTGGTAACAAAGTATAATAACTGAAGATTTAATGATTTTGGAAAGAACTTTTATCATTATTCAGTATCTATATGCAAGTTATCTTAAACAATACTTAAATTTCTGGCAATCAGTGGTTTATGAGTGTAACAAAACTGTTCCAGCAGAATAAAGATAAAAACAGCTATTAAAAAAAAAAATGTTGAGAGTACAAAATAACTTGTATACATCTTCTCTTAGACTATCATTAGCAAACAAGCATTTTTCTCACGTGGAGTTAAGGTTGCAGCTGCAAGTCATGATGTCCAAGTTAATTTGAATTTTTTTGGCTACCAGTATAAATTGAATTCTTCAGACAAGCATTTTCACCAATGAACATTTCAAAAGCTTTTTTTTT